TTAGAAGCCTACAAACAGGTTTATAAAGAAATATATCTGTAACACTAACAGCAGTATCATGGTATTTATTGTCCAGAGTAAGGAGGTTATAGGTTTTATGTTAAAGATACCTTCTGAAAGTAAGGTTTCTGGTCCTTAACTTTGTTTGTATTAAAACCTTTAGCCGGGCATGGTGGTACATGCCTGTGGTCCTGGCGACTCAAGAGGCTGAAGTAGGAGGATCACTCGAGCCTGGGAGGTCGAGGCTGCAGTGAGCTGTGGTCACGCCACTGCACTCTAGCCTAGGCAACAGAGTGAGATCCTGTCTCAAAAAATATATGTATATATTAAAACCTAATATATGTAACTACTTTCATGAAAAAATTGAACTAAAATAATTGAGACTGCTGCTATATGTTTTGTACAATTGAAATTAGATTTGGTATGTTTTAAACAGCTCATTCTAGACAGAAGTTAACTACAATTCATAAATGTTCTTAGTTATTCCCTGCCACCCTTTCCCCACACACACACTTGGACTATTCTGCACTTTGAAACACAAAGCAACTTGTCAGTTCAGTTTATTCAGTTAGGGTCAGTTCTGTGAAAACAAAGCCAAGGCAATTGTTTGATTTAATTGACTAGAGAAACTGGTTATACAGGTTAGTAGCACTTAGTTTTATTTTTGTCCTTCTGCATATTTGAATGTTCATAAAGTAACTTAGTAGAATAATAAGATTCCAGTGACATTGTAATAGATTTTAAAGAACGATTACCAAAGCAAAGAAAAAAATCGTGCTAAAACCAAACTATAGAAACTATTCATGGTATTTTTTTCTTTATGGCTCCACTTTCACTATAATGAAATGTGTTCCCCCAAAAAAGTAGTCTTCTTTTCTTTCACTATTCATTTCCTCCTCCTTTTTTTTTTTTCGGGATTTTTTTTTTCCTGGGCTGTAGTTAATATAGCTATCAGAAAATTTCCTGTACAGTTTAGATGAATAAATACTTTTACAGAATAGTTCTCTATGTGCAAGCAGACATCCTCTAACAGTTGGTCAGCCCCCTCTTGGCTTCAGTGTCCTCCTTACCCAGCCAACCTCATGGCCGATAATTTTAACAATGTTCTCATTACTATCCTTGATTCTTTCTGCCTCCCACCATACTTTCCACGATATCCATCGCACTGTTCCCTGCTCCTTCAGCTCCTGGACTTCTGATCACTCATTATTTTATTAAAATGAGTGGAAAACCAAAAATTGAAATGCTAAAGTATACTCTTAGGTCTTAATACTTTAAAAGTATATAGATCTCATGAACATAATTCATTTGAGGAAAAAAATACAAATCATTTCTTGTCCCAGGAAAACAGTAAATCTTTAATGGAACTTTTTAGCAATTATGACAAAAAGAATGGAAAAATGTTTAAACATATATAAAAGGCTAGAAGTTTCTCGCCAAAGAGTATCTAAAGGTCATAGAATAGTTAGGAATTCTGTCATTTTGTTTTGTGTAATAAATACTGCCCTCCTTACCCCTTCACCCTAATAATAGATATCCACCATTTGGTTGTAATTATCCAACTATAGAATACCTTTTTCAAGAACTCATTATATACCAAAGTAGAAGCTTGCTGACACTGATAATGCTTTATTTAGTTTTGTTGTGACATGCAATTACCATTTGCTTAGGAAAAAAAAAAAAAGAAAAACAAGTAAATTTTTTAGAACTATGGTTGAGTATATATACGTTGATAAAAATCCTTTGGGAGAAAACTTTTGTCTTGTGTGTTAAGAGCATTAAATAGTTATACCCCTTAGCCTAGTGTGTCTTCTATCCTGAAAAAAAAATTAACAAAGCAAATACTAACTTAAGAAAAAAAACTACAGTACTGAAAATGTTTGTTGTAATATTGTTTATACTGACATAAATTATGTAATTTTTTAATATATTGTTTATATTGACTTATTGATAACATTCTAAATGTCTGTTACTATACATAGTGTAAATTATGATACATTGGCTTTGGCAGGCCGTTTTGTAAACACTAATAATATAAATACCATACTCTTAAAAATCTGGAAAAATGATTCTGGTATAGTTTATGTGAAAAGGCACAACATAAAATTGTATATAGTACACTAGCAATGAACAGTCTGACAAAGGAAATTAAGAAAACAATTCCATGTACAATAGCATCAAAAAGAAAAAAATACAAACAGGCGTGATGACTCTGGACTTTGAAAGGCCAAGGCCAGGAGAATTGCTTTAGCTCAGGAGTTTGAGCCCATCCTGGGCAACACAGGGAGACTTCGTCTCAATAAAAAATAAAGTTAGCCGGGTTAGCCAGGCGTGGTGGCTCATGCTTGTAGTCCCAGCTACTTGGGAGGCTGAGGTGGGAGGATTACTTGCACCCGGGAGGTAGGCTGCAGTGAGTCATGATTTGCCACTGCACTCCAGACTAGGTGACAGAGTGAGACCCCATCTCAAAAAAAAAAAAAAAAAAAAAGAAGAAGAAGAAAATGTTTCGGAGTAAATTAACTGAATGGACACAAGACATCCCATATTCATGGATTAGAAGATTTAATGTTGTTAGGATGATAATACTACCCAAAACATTCTACAAATTAGATGCAGTCCCTATCAAAATCCCAATGACATTTTTTACAGAAATAGAAAAACTCATCCTAAAATTTATGTGAAATTTCAAGGAACCCCCAAATGGCCAAAACAATCTTTAAAAGGAAAAACAAAGTTGTAGCACTCATATTTCCAGATTTCTGAACTTACTGTAAAGCTACAGTCAGCAAAACAGTGTACAGTTAGAATAAGGATGGACATAAAGACCCATGGAATATTAATAGAATAGAGCCCAGAAATAAACACTTGCCTATATGGCCAGTGGTTTTCAACAAGAGTGTCAGGACTATTTAGTGAAGAAAGGCCGGTCTTTTCAACAAATGGGACTGGTAAAACTGAGTATCTACATGCAAAAGAATGAAGTTGGACCTTTACCTTACACCATATTCAAAAACTAACTCAAACTGGATCAGAGACCTAAATTTAAGCCTTAAAGATATAAAATTCATAGAAGAAAACATAGGAGAAAATCATGACCTTGGATTTGGCAATTTCTCCAAAAGGACAGGCACAAAAACATAAAGTAGATAAATTGAACTTCATAATTATAAAAACTTGTTTATTAAAGGAGATTATCAGCCAGGCCCAATGGCTCATGCCTGTAGTCCCAGCTACTCAGGACTCTGAGGCAAGGGGATTTCTCGAATCCAGGAGGCAGAGGTTGCAGTGAGCCGAGATCACACCACTGCACTCCAGCCAGGGTGACAGAGCAAGACTCCGTCTCAAAACAAGTAAGTAAAGAAGTAAATAAGATTATCAAGAAAGTGAAAAGGCAACCCACAAAATGGAAGAAAATATTTTCAAATTATATATCTAATAAGACTGTATTATTAAGAATATATAAAGAACTCCTACAGCTCAGCAACAACAAGGAAAACCACAATTAAAATATAAGCAAAAGACTTGGGAAGACTTCTCTCCAAAGAAGATATACAAATGCCCAGTATGCACGTGAAATAACGTGCATTGGCCAGGATGTGGAGAAATTGAAATCAAATTTCTTGCTGGTAGGAATGTAAAATCGTATCACCACTGTGGAGCCGTTGCAGTTCCTCAAAAAGTTAAATATGGAATTACCACATGACCTAACAGTTCTACTCCACTTCTAGGTAGCTACCCAACAGAAGTGAAACAAGAACTCAACATATACAGTATTTGTGCACCAATGTTCATAGCAGCTTTACTCACAATAGCCAAAAAGTGGAAACAACACAAGTGTTCATCAAGAGATCAATGGATAAATAAAATGTACCATAAACATACAGTGGACTATTATTTACCAGTAAGAGAAGTGAAGTTCTGATACATGATACAACATAGATGAACTTTGAAAATGTCACACTAAGTGAAATAAGCAGACAGCAAAGGACAAATATTGTATTATTCCACTTCTGTGAGGTATCTGGAATAGGCAGATTCACAGAGGCAGAAAGTAAGATACAGGTTTCTAGGGCCAGGAGGGAGGAGAAAATGGGGAGTTTTTGTTTAATGGGTACAGAGTTTCCGTATGGGCTGATGAAAGTGTTCTGGAAATAGAAGTGGTAGCTATTCAACATTATGAATGTACTTAATACCACTGAATTGTACACTTTTCACAGGATTAAAATGGTAAATTTTACATTATATTTTAAACCACATTTGTCAAAAATTTATACCTAATGATTTGGATATCTAAATTATGTGTTTGTAAAACAAAGAAGGGAATATGAAGAAATGAAAAAATTAGTGAATTATGGTGTGAATATTTTTAGTAGAAATAAAGCTCAAATATTTATTAAGATATATTTTGTCGTATAGCTTTTCAGACGAAGACAAATACTAAGAAAATTTAAGTTTATGCATTCTCAAAATTGCTATTAATATTTAATTTAAAATTTTTCCAGCCAGGCGAGGTGGCTGACACCCATAATCCCAGCACTTTGGGAGGCTGAGGCAGGCGGATCACCTGAGGCCAGGAGTTCAAGACCAGCCTGGCCAACATGGTGAAACCCCATCTCTGCTAAAATTATAAAAATTAGTGGGACATGGTGGCAGGTGCTTGTAATCCCAGCTACTCGGAAAGCTGAGGTAGGAGAATCACTTGAACCTGGAAGGCGAAGGTTGCAGTGAGCCGAGATCGCACCACTGCACTTTAGCCTGAGTAACAGAGTGAGACTCTGTCTTAAAAAAAAACAAAAAGAAACAAAAAAAATTCTCATTTGTAGTTGCTATTAAGAAGAGCTTTATTGATCCACTCTTAAAACCTTCAAATTTACATAGGAAAAACTTCAGAATAATTCATGTCAAAGGAATTTCTGTACTATATTTATGCTAGAGCATTTTGAATGATTTCATTTTGTTGTCACATTTTCTAGATTTTAATAAAACCTGTGTTTCTTTAGCTTGACAGAGCCAATTCGCTATTAAACCAGACTCAACAGCCTTACAGGTATCTCATTGAATCAGTGCGTCAGAGAGATTCTAAGATTGAGTCACTGACGGAATCTATTGCACAACTTGAGAAAGATGTCAGGTAAACCATCTACAAATCTTTCATTTGAATAATAAAGACATTGTTACTATATTGCTGCTGTAGATGAATTTGGGTTGTAAATCGTGAACAGAAAATTTGAATAATGAAGGTGATCTTAAATGTAATGAATATTAAACTTTTCTTAGAAAAACTAAGGTCACATCACATCAGGTGTTCACATTCCACCTGTGATCAGATGTCTTAGCATGGAAATAACAATGTTACACTTAGGAGCATTACATTCCATCTGTCCTAGAGGACACAACCACTATTGGTCCTTGTTTCCCTGGAACTCTTTAGTGTGATATAGATTGACCAAAGGGAGAGGAGGAATAAAACCAGATCCATTTGTGTCATTAAAATGGCTTTTTAAACAGAAATAAAATTTACGTTTACTTAGCTTTATGTTGATTTTTCCAAGGAATTTTTAGGCTTTTCTTCTGACCTTTTACATGAAAGTAACTTTTAAGTGTAAATAAATAAATTTCTTTCACTTCCTTAATTTGTAATTGTTTTTGTATGAGATCTTATCCAAAGAAAATTTGCTATGACCATTTTGGTTTTTTAAACTGAAATAAAAGAATGAAGATATGTGTAAATGAAACAGTTTTACTTGTGGATAGATGGTTAGTTTGCTTAGTTATTAGATTTCTAAGATTATAAGAATAATTTAGATTTTTATGGGTAAATTATTAACTGATTATAAATGTAAAAGCAGAGAATTAGGTGGGAATAGAAATGGTTAAATCAAGGAATTGGAAAACAATAAGGAGAAGATGATTGTTAAATCCAGGTTTCCTAAAGTATGCAAACAAAAATAGAAAACTAATGGTAACTAATTGCAAAGTATAAATGTTATTTTTAATGAATCATAATAATTACTTTCTTTCATTTCTGCCTCACCAAAATAATTGGTCTAGAACTTTATTCCTGTTCTTAATTTTTTTATAATTTGTTTAAATAATTTAGGAGCACATTTATACTTACATGTCAAAATAAATAAGTTTGTTTCTAGATTAATTTTAAAGTTAAAATTCTGTATACAACCTATAATAATAAATTAATTGTTCTATAAATAGTTCTTGGGGACAATAGAAATTATGTCTTTCACAATTCAGTGGGCACCTGGTTATCTTAGGGAAATTGAAGAAAGAACCCCAAATAGAATTTTTTTCTTCCTATGTTACATATTTCGGTTAAATTTGAATCTTTTATGGCCAGGAGCAGTGACTCACACCTGTAATCCCAGCACTTTGGGAGGCCGAGGCAGGTGGATCACCTGAGGTCAGGAGTTCTAGACCATCCTGGCCAACATAGTGAAACCCTGTCTCAACTACAAATACAAAAGTTAACTGAGCATGGTGGTGCATGCCTGTAGTCCCAACCACTCTGGAGGCTGAGACGGGAGAATCGCTTGAACCGGGGAGACGGAGGTTACAGTGAGCTGAGATCATTTCACTGCATTTCAGCTTGGGCAACAGAGTGAGACTCTGTCTCAAAAAAATTAAAATTAAAATTAAATTATGAATCTTTTTTTTTTTTTTTTTTTGAAACGGAGTCTCACTCCATCACCCAGGCTGGAGTGCAATGACACGATCTCTGCTCACTATAACCTCCACCTCCTGGGTTCAAGTGATTCTCCTGCCTCAGCCTCCTGAGGAGCTGGGATTACAGGCACACGCCACCACACCTAGCTAATTTTTGTATTTTTAGTAGAGACGGGGTTTCACCGTGTTGGTCAGGCTGGTCTCTAACTCCTGAACTCGTGATCCGCCCACCTCGACCTCCCAAAGTTCTAGGATTAAAGGCATGAGATGCCATGCCCGGCCTTGAAATTTGAATCTTTTATATGTTGTATTTTACTGTTATATTCTTGTGATGGGGAGGTATATAAAACTCCTGAGGAAAAAAATTACTTCTTTCACAGTTATCTCCAAATAAACTTGAGAATTTATTTTACTAAGAATTAAGGTAGTTTAAAATGCTTAATATAGAGAAAATAATAGCTAGCTGTAGGAGAAAATTATAAAGATGAACAAATTCAGCCATAGATAAATTAAGCAACTTGTCCTCTCAGAACATACAGCATTGTGATAGAGTCAGAATTCAAATTTATATCTGTCTGCTTGCTAATTCTATTCTCCTAACCATTAGGTTATACTGCCCCTCTATGTTCTATTTTGAATAAGGGATATTATTTCTGTAACTAAAATAATTAAGGAAGAGAACAAAAAAATAGTGTATCATAGTGATTAAAAGTAGCACTTTAATGAGTTGATCGTTGTTGAAGCAGGGTGATAGATATATCAGGGTTTGCTATTACATATTTTCTCTTCTGAAATATTCTATTATAAAGTTTTTTTAAAAACAGATTTTAAAAGGAAGTTTTCAAATTCAACTCAGTACTTAGTTTTGAGTTAGAGCAAGTACAATTTAAATTCTCTGTACCTCTGTTGTCCAATAGAACTTTCTATAATGATAAAAATATTCCATATCTGTGCTGTCCAGTATGGTAGCCACTAGCTAGCCACATGTAGATGCTGACCATTTGTTTTGCGGTTTTGTTGTTGCTGTTGTTGTTTCCTTTTTTTGAGATGGAGTCTTGCTCTGTCACCCGACTGGAGTGCAATGGCGCGATCTCGGCTCACTGCAAGCTCCACCTCCCAGGTTCAAGCGATTCTCCTGTCTCAGCCTCCCGTTTACCTGGGATTACAAGCACCTACCACCACACCTGGCTAATTTTTGTATTTTTAGTAAAGATGGGGTTTTACCATGTTGGCCAGGGTGTTCTTGAACTCCTGACCTCAAATGATCTGCAGGCCTTGGCCTCCCAAAGTGCTGGGATTACAGGCGTGAGCCACCGCACCCAACCTGAGCATTTGAAATGTGGCTACTGTTACTGAGGAACTAAATTTTTAATTCTATTAAAATTGAATTGTTAAAATTATATTATCTTTAATTTTATTAAGATTAAATTTAAATTAATGTTAATTTTATTTTATTAAAATTGAAGATAATTTTAATTGCTCTAGTGGCTAATGGCTGTAGTATTCCACAGTACATCCAGTTTCCTCATATGTGAAATGAAAGTGGTGCCAAGGCAGGCAGATTGCCTGAGCCCAAGAGTTCGAGATCAGCCTGGACAACATGGCAAAACCATGTTTGGTTTTGTCTCTACAAAAAATACGGAAAAATTAGCTGGTGTGATGGCACACTCCTGTAGTCCTGGCTACTTGGGAGGCTGAGGTGGGATGATGACTTAAACCTGGGAGGTGGAGGTTGCAATGAGCAACTGCACTCCAGCCTGGGTGACAAAGCAGAACTCTGTCTGAAAAAAAAAAAAAAAAGAGAGTGGTGCTAACAGCACCTGATTGATAGGGTTGTTCTGAGGAATAAATGATATAATCTTCATTATATATATAGATAAAATAGTGCCTAAACATTATATTCAACAGTGTTCAATAAATGCCATTCTTAGTACTTACCATACATGTAACAAATTTTTGGTTGAAAATTATATTAAAGGCCAGGCGCGGTGGCTCAAGCCTGTAATCCCAGCACTTTGGGAGGCGGAGATGGGCGGATCACGAGGTCAGGAGACCATCCTGGCTAACACGGTGAAACCCCGTCTCCACTAAAAAATACAAGAAACTAGCCGGGCAAGGTGGCGGGCACCTGTAGTCCCAGCTACTCGGGAGGCTAAGGCAGGAGAATGGCATAAACCCGGGAGGCGGAGCTTGCAGTGAGATCCGGCCACTGCACTCCAGCCTGGGCGACAGATCGAGACTCCGTCTAAAAAAAAAAAAAAAGAAAAAGAAAAAAAAAAAAAGAAAATTATATTAAAAATGAGAAATAACATTTCTCAAAATATGTTGAATTTGAACAAAAATTAAGACTCCCCCAATAACAGCAACAGTTTTCATAAAGGCCATGTCATTTATGGAATTAATTACCAAGAAAAATTTTGTACTAAACATGAGTCCTTTAATGTTGTCTTGTGTTGCATAAATTCATTGTGTGATATTTTAATACATTCTGAACTGATAATTCACAGGTTATGAAATCTTATTCTTAATTGAAGCAACTACCTTCTAAAGTGAAAGGTTATTAATACTTTCAGTAGTTTAGTTATGACATTTGAGATGCTGCTATAGGGGTACCCTGGTTGCAGGAATGAAATGCTGTGATGTAACAATGCCATTAAAAAGTCAGCTCGGCCAGTCATTCAGATATGGTAGGATAGATCACAGTTCTGTATACCCACATTCCTTCATCCCTACTCTAAGCAGATGGCATTTCAAATCCTGGAGTAGAATTATCCTGGGCTTTAAATACACATCAGGCTGGTTTCTGTCCTTATGGTAAATGTGTCTGTAAAATTAGATATTAATATGAACCTGAAGGGGTAGTTGTGAAAATTTAGGAACATATATAAAGCTTTGGCACATAGGAGAATCTCAGTAAATGTTACTTCCGTCCCCTTGTCTTTTATTTGAAATTTAAACATTAATGATGGCCCATCCAAAAGCATTATCAAGTTATTATGTTCCTTAGAAGACATAAACAGGAAAATTCCTATTCCTCTTTGCTAAGTGTTGAGGTTAGTTGTAAAAAATATTTACATCAATTTATGACTTTTAAATGTTTTTCTAATTCAATAAAAACTCTTTGAATAACTGAATAATTGTATGCTTTTCTTAGAAAATTAAACAATACCACTATACCATACTTATCCCTTGAAAATGAACTATATATACAATATATTCAATTTCTAGAAAGGCTAGAGTAAATATGCACTAAAATGAAATCATTATAAACACATTAAAAGCTAACATTTGAGATGTTACTATTAACTGCTTTAAATTCCCCTATTGTTAAAGTAATGCTTTATTCTAAAAGTAGTACTGGTAACTTTCTTCCACCAAGTCACAAGAGACAGTCTGCATAATACAGTTTGATCTCTACTTCAGAAAGGAAGGAAGCTTGGAAAGAGAATAATTAGCATAATTTTCTTTGCCTGTTGTCAGTTCTTAGTTTATTCTTAACTGGTAAAGAAAAGACTACATTGTCAACTTCTCTTACAAAGCTACCCGAGAGTATATTGATCCAGGAAGTTAAGGAACAATATATCAGGAATGTTTTCATATTGCAGGTGAAACAGAGCCATAAACATGAATTTCTAAGTAATAATTAACAGTGAATTGAACAATTATGGGTGTAATATACCATTCAAGATAGATGTGCTTATAAGGAGATTTGTTTTGTAGTTGTTTTATGAGTCATTCGTAGAAGCTTTGTACTTTCAAAGGTAATTTTCCACTGTTATGAAATATGTCTTATGAAGACTAAAATTCTATTGAGTAAATACATACTAGAAGAAGAGTGAATATGATAATCATCATACTCAGTTTTAGAGACCCACATGTTGAAGGTTGTCTCCCTGTGGTCGAGTATATTATAAAGAAGACAAAATATATATCCAGATATTGTAATCACAGCAATATTGTCTGGGAAGTCCACATTGTTTGTAATAAACTCATGTCTTACAGGTACAACATGATTGTTCTGTAAGCCAGCTTATCCCCCCACCATTTATTCCATGTATATATGGTTGTTTTGCTATTTAATTATAGAATACTTTATTTTTGAAAAGTTAAACATGACAATATAAAAGCATTTGTAAAGAATTATCCAGTCAAAATCCTTTAATTACCTCGACATTCCATTCCGATTACACTACATTTTCTTTAGAAGAGCCTGTTGGTATTTGAGACAGAGAGTGAGTGTGTGTGTGTGTGTGTGCAGTGAATGTGAGTATATGCTTAAATACCATGGTTGTTAGTGTATAAGTTTACATGTATATGAACATAGACACATATGTGTTCCTTAAAAATTCCTAGTCCTATTTACTGGATATTTAAATTTGAAAAAACATTTTACCTTCAAAGTGATTCCAGCTAAAGATAGGTTAGAATTCTAGAGTTAGAGAAACATGTGATCCTTGCCATGCTTTGGAGATTCTAGCAGAACATGGCACTCAGTTTCCTTTATACTGTTTTGTTCTTTTTCAACTCCTCAGCTCTTGCAGGATCTCTGGCGCCTAACTCTAAAAGTCAGTTTGTTTTTTCAGCTGAGCTGCTTACCTTTATTGACATTTAATTACTATTTTACTCTGATGCCTATTTTTTTATCTAAATTAGTAATGCTGTATAACATTTATATAGAGTTTTATGAGTTCAACACTTTATATAATCATTCACATAGCCCTTTGACATACATGAGTATTATGTTCCACTTTACAGATATAAAAACTGAGGTTCAGTGGGGTGGTATGTGTTAGGCTTTGCACCATACATTTGAGTCTGAGTCAGTGGCACAGTTGGAAACAGAAGTCAGAATTGCGTCTAGTCCGTCTTCTCAGAGGACAAACTATGATGCTTCCTTCTCGATTACTTGGAAGGAGAAGAATATGGGCTTTCCCTCTTAAATCCTTCGAATTAGCAGTTGCTCCAGAATGCCTACTACTGTTTCTTGAATTCAAAAAAAAAAAAAAAAAGAAAAAGTCTGCCCAATATTATTCTAAAAATTAGTGACTTTCCTTTATTTATTTTTTTTTTTTTTAGAGAGAGCCTCACTCTGTCTCCCAGGCTGGAATACAGTGGAGAATCATAGCTCGCTGCAGCCTCGAACTCCTGGGCTCAAGCGATCCTCCTACTTCATCCTTTGATGTAGCTGGGACTAAAGGTGCATGTCTCCACACCCGGCTAACATTTTTTTTTTTAAGAGATGGAGTCTCTCTATGTTGCCCAGACCAGTCTCGAACTCCTGGGCTCAAGCGATCCTCCTACTTCATCCTTTGATGTAGCTGGGACTAAAGGTGCATGTCTCCACACCTGGCTAACATTTTTTTTTTTAAGAGATGGAGTCTCTCTATGTTGCCCAGACCAGTCTCGAACTCCTGGACTCATGGACTCATGCAGTTCTGCAACCTGGACCTCCCAAAGTGCTAGGATTATAGGCATGAGCCAGTGTTCCCTGCCTCCATTTTCTTAAAGTAGAACTTAAGTAGAACTTTAAAAATGTTTTTACCTGCCAGGTGCAGTGGCTCACGCCTATAATCCTAGCACTTTGGGAGGCCGAGGTGGGTGGATCACGTGAGGTCAGGAATTCCAGATCAGCCTGGCCAGCATGGTGAAACCCCATCTCTACTAAAAATACAAAAATTAGCCGGGCA